AACTTTTTTATGTTATATGCAAAGCCAAAAAAAAATTGCAAGATAGGTAAAAATAGAATGCAAAAATGGGGTAAAATGGGACTAGTTTCTTACCCGTGTTGACTTCTTTCAAAGATGAAGCTCCAGCAGCTTCTTTGAGCTCAAAACAGCTCAAGAACCTCAAAAACAACCCTCAAGAGGTCTTAGCTCCAAGGGATGGTGTAATAGTGGGTGCTTGTGAGCAAAAGTAAGACAAAACACACACACTAAGGCTAAATGAGAGAGAGGTATAGAGATAGAATATATATCAAACCCTAGACCTAAAACCAGAGCTCTCACACCAATTTTCTCTCCAAAATCTCTAACCTAGAGCCAAGAGGGGAGGGCTCCTCTCCTCTTATAGAGGAGCCAATCTTGTAAAGCTTACAAGGTAAGCTAACAAGGGGTCCATCCCTCCATACACGTGTATGGAGGGGAACAAAATGACATACAGCTGTCTTAAAATATCTGCAAAAGCAGATGAACAGTAGTCGGCTGCTCAAACTTGCCATTTTGTCAAAATTGAGTGCCGACCGGCAACAAATAATGCCGACCGGCAATGTAGATTGCCGATGGCATCAAAACACCAGCCGGTGGCCCCTGGCCATGGCCGGTGATGTGTGGGGATGCCTCACAAGGCATTCCCTGCCCCTCCAAGGCAAAACACAAGTGTTTGGTGCAAAACCAGACACTAAACAGTCAAGTTCGGAGATCCTGAGGCAAGGCGCGTAGCCGAGACCTCCGGGAACTCCAAACGAACACAAACATGGATGATCACCGGGTGTTCAAACGGTGACGTCCAAGTCTTGAGGACGGTCAAAAATGGGGTGTCTACATCTAGGTTTTCCAAAATCCCATTCTTCACCAATTTTTCAATTCTAGTTCTGGAGATATGCCCCAACCGTATATGCCACAAGATCGATGATTTTTCATTAATTAGACCACGTTTTAAACCAATATTCGAATGCAGAGTTACTAATGATTGTGAAAACTCATGATTTAAGGTAATTTTATATAAACCATCACATAAATTACCAGAACCAATCACTTTTGAATTAAACATTAAATTGAGTTTTCCACAATTAAATAAAACTGAATATCCAACACGATCCAATTTGAATAACGAAACTAAATTCCTAGAAATTGAAGGAACATAAAAAGTGTTTTCTAGATCCATCTGATGACCCGTCTCTAAGATCAGTCGATAGGTTCCTACAGCTATGACTTTAGCTTTGAGACGGTTCCCCATATAGACAAATCTTTCACTTTCCTTCGGTTTCCTGGTTGAGAGGTATCCCTGCTTGTCATTTGTAATGTGGGTCGTGGCCCCAGAGTCAATCCACCACGTATTAGAAGGTACTTCAGCAAGATTTGATTCATAACAAACAAAAGAAAATTTCTTACCTTTCTTTTCGAACCAAGCCTTTCGCTTGCTGGAGTCTTTCTTCACATGTCCCTTCTTGCCACAAAAGTAGCACTTGACAGTGAAACCATTCTTAGCCTGATTTTCTTCCCCAGGTTCATTCTTTTTCTTTGGTGGATTTTTCTTTGATTTTACAAACTTACCCTTCTTTTTCTTTATAGCTCCATGAGTTACAGCCAATGCAGTTTGATGTCCTTCCTCCATCAACCTCACTTCCTCCTGAACACACATATTAGTCAGCTCATTCAAACTCCACTTATCTTTATTGGTGTTATAGTGGATTTTGAATGCGCTGAATTATGATGGAAGTGAGTTGAGAATAAACTGCACAAGGAAAGTTTCATCAACTTGCATTCCTAAAGTTTTAAGCTTTGCAGCTTTGTCGCCATATTGAGGATGTGATCCTAAACTCCTCGGTGGCCATTATATTTCATTGTTGTTAATTCAGCCATAATAGTGCTAGCAAGTGGCTTGTCGATCTTCAACAGCCTTTAACCAAATTTTACTTTAAGCGGTGGGGTAACGTCACTAAAGAGTCCTTTGGTCAATAACTAAGTAAGATCCCAGGAAGGTCGGAGGAGTCAATATAGCCTCTCTTCTAAGTCCAACCACCTTAGATAACAAGCTATTTTTTTGACAGATCTTAAGAGGTATTAACACAAGATCTCATAAATAACATGGAAAAAGGCATAAACAATATACGTATTAAAGCTTTGAGAATTACGATGAACTATTGATATCACATAAGTCTTTCCTTTGAGCAAAACTTAGGTATATCTATTGTCCACTCGTCAAGAATCACTTATGTAGGTCTAAAGTAATTTATGCAATTTTTCAACTAGTCATGTTACCTTTGGGTATTCAATTCTAATCTTTTAAATTACATAAGTTACATTATCCTACCCAGTTCATAATTATTTGAAAGTGACTCTCATTTGGGATAGTCTCAATCTCCTAATTATAACTGCAATTAAGAATATTATCGACCTTAATGTTACCCTTTTTTTAACAATTCTTTTATGTAGTTTCATATTCATAAGTTTTACAAATCTAGGCCACTTTGGCAACTACTAAATTAGTAAACCCTATGAATACGGAACTAACCAACAATATTCTCTATTCATTAATTTTGAGTTATTTAATTATCATTAATTCAATCACAATTTTAATGAGATCACTATTTTTATGATTTCTAAAATTTCTTTTATGTGATTGCTGTTACCAATATAATAATAATAACTCTGGATGAACAGGAATATTTATATATGTATTATAACAATCATGAATATCTAAAATAATGGTTAATAAGAATTACACCTAATATGAATTAACCACTTTAATATTTAATATTCAATGTCATAAAATTATATCATGATATCAATTTTAAATCATGAAAATATATAAATATTTAACAATAATAGACAATAAGTGTGCATAATTAAACAAAGCAAAAACATAATCCTCTAATGTGATACAATCAAATAAATATATTTATTTAATAGTCCGAACGATTCAGCAAAATTCTAAAATTGCTTTTAATCTATGCACTTTATCATAACGGCAAGCAATACACTAAATTCAATAACATATTATGATGATTATAAAAATTATTATCACTAAAATTGATAATAAATCAAAACATGCATATGAACAGCATATAGAATTACATAAAAGTTTGCACCTAACATATCACAAAACAAAGTGAGTGAGGGAGTCCATGATGTGCATACTTAGTTACGATTTAAAAATCAGGAATGAAATCTTCTTTCACACAACCTTTGACTTTTAACAACATAAAAAGAGTTTCTTTGATGCATAATGACTATGAAAGAGATTAGATGTACCATTCAGACACAGCCTAATAAATATGGCATGCAGCTTACAAGGTTGATCATACAGCGTATATTCAAGATAACCAACACATGCCGAGAGTTCAAACCTTATGAACAAAAAATATGTTGTTATGAATAATTATAATTATAATATAATAACAATATTCATAAATATATTATTATTTCAAGGTGTATTGATTCACAAACTAAAGCTCTGATACCACATGTAAGATTTAATAATACATGTAACCATAATAATAATGCGGAATTAAACTTTACAGGATCTTGAATTCAATACAACTCAAGAATAAAACGAATATACCTTTGTCAGTCATTGAATTAGAGAAGTTGAGAAAATGCCTCTTAGAGTTGAACCTTTAATTTTGGCTCACCTTTTTCTCTCTGTCTCTCACTTCATTAGGATGACTATAAAACTTAAAGTGATGGAAAAAAATACTCATGATATAAAAGGGGAGTCACCCATCCTTATATAGAGGAGAGAAGAGGGCCAGATAAACTCTATCAGAAGAATTCCTAATCCATCAAGGTTTCCTTCTTATCTTAGAAGAGTGATTATATTAAAATTCTATTTACTGAACTTGATCTCAAATATTGGCTTTATCTATTTGTGGAGTCCAAATAAATTAAAACATGTAGAAAATATGTAGGCTATTGGGCCATACTAGAAAATAAATCCAACAGAGGTGGTTGACGACAGCTAGTCGTGGTGGTGATATGGACAGATAAGTTATACTAGACAAATATGTGGACAAATAGATGATACATGAACAAATAGGTCACATGAATGAATAAGTGACACAGATAGATAGATAGATAAGTAGAGATGATATAGTCTTTCAAATTATTATTATTTTTATGGGCCAAGTGCTCTATTTTTAACCCCTCATTTTCGACACATAGATATCCTAAAATTATGTGACGATAATTATTGTATCAATATGATTTTTTCATTTACAATCTATACATATAGCTCTAGAAAGTGATATCAAAACATCAAAACAGCTGACCCCCGTTCAGTCTTCTCCAACTAAAAAAAGATGGATTCTTATTTTTTTCTCTCCTATTTTTATATAACAATGCTAAGAACTCAGAAAAAAAATATTCAAAAAAAATATATATTAAAAAGCATTGTGTTGTTAAAATTTATTTAATGTGTGATTTTTACTATACAAAAATTAAATTTTTATTAGAGTTAAATTTGTACTACAACATCATTTTTCTGGATAAAATCAAGAGTGATTTTTACTACTCTTAGCTTTTTATTTTATTTTTTAATTTTGATTTTAAGTAGGTTTTGTGGTTGTACAAAATATGGATCTGTCATGCGATTTACAAGTGTAATAATCTACAAATACAAAATGTATCATAAAAAGTATCTAAATAGATTGAAATTTATTTTAAATGTAGATCATATTATAATCGAATTTAATCTACCGATCTATTATATATTTTCTATGAATCACCCAATGATCTATTTAATATTTTAGCATTACTCTTTATAATCGTAACACATTTAATTGTGAACTTTGGCCATTGAAAAATGTAAAAATGCTACAGGCACATAAATAGAACACTAGAAAATATACAAAAAGCATGGTATGATTGAGATGAACGTAGTGTGAGCCATAATTAAAAAATATATATACGAAACAAACAATATGTTTTCGGTACATTTTTTGTGCAATGTTTTTGCGCACCTAAAATTATTCTTGAAAGACATTACATTCAACTCATGTATGACAACAACCATTTCAATAATAACAAAGCCATGTATAAAAGAACTTCTCTTTCCTTTTTACTTTCCATGCAACACGGTTGTTGTATACAACAGTACAAATATTTGAATGTATTATCATATATTTTAACCATGATCATCAAATCAACAAACTCAAAGAACATATTAAAAAAGAATGAGGAAAAGCAATCTCTCTCTCTTGATCACTTCCATGGGTCTCTTGAAGCCTTGAATATAAAAATTGAATTCAATCATGTATTAACGGTGTTAATTGCATCACACCGGTACCTCACCTCTCCCTCCTTCCCGGTCTTAACACCGTATACACTCGTCTTCTCCATTGCCCTTGCAAATGTATGGAAAAATGCGGTCTGATTCCTTGCATACAACTGGACGAAGGGCCTTGTTCGTGGATCCGTCAACAACACTTGGTCCGATTGCAAAAGCCCCAACCCCCTTTGTAAATTTTGAAAGTACATGTTATCAAATGTCCCTGGTGTCATGGGGTCATTAAACGCAGCTTGGTTTGGTTTAGTGTGGTAATTTTCGCACATGCTTTGAAGCCTCTGTGCGAATTTAGGGTTTAATGCAGGATCAACTTGCGATGTCCTACTATAATTGAAGATCCTATTGCTGAATTCCTTGCAGTGAGAGAATCCGATTGTGTGTCCACCGCCGGTCAACGCCACCATTTCTTCGACAGTGAAACCCTTTTCCTTAAACATGTCGATCATACGATCGACTGATGTGTTAACCCTAGCTAGGTTTCCCTCGACATGCGAAGCCTTTGACACGAGGCCGTCTTTTCGGCCCAATAAGATCTTAAAAAAGGGCCCACCGACGATCTTGACGAGGTTACGTGTCGTGACAGCTAAAATATCAGCACATGAGACAACACCGGGGCAAGCGAGCTCGAGGGCTTGCTTGGCGCGTGTTACTAGGTCGAAGGCATCCCCAGCGAGAGCTTCATTGAGGTCGGCTTCACGCTCGGCCTTGTTGAAGGAATTGGAGGAAATGAGGACAGAGGCGTCACAACCCTCGACCATGCAGTCGTGGAAGAAGACGCGAAGGGTGGCAGCGGCGGTGGTGGGGTTGGAGATCTGTTTGGTGGTGACAGTCTCTTGAATGATTTTATCGAAGCTTGGGCATGTTTTTGCGTAGTAGTTTTCAGTGAGGCGGGGACTGCGGTGGGCATGAGGGTGCGGATGGTGTTGATTTGAATGGGCAATGGGGGCAAAGGAGGAGAGAAGGGAGGTGAGGATGAGGAAGAGAAGGAATGGGGAAGCCATGGTCATAGAGAGATGACCCGCTTCCTCACAAGCATAGGTTGTGGGGAAGAGATAGGAAACTGATGCTTTTGGGTTTTAAAAAGAAGTGTTGAGAGGTGAAATGAAAATGGAGAGGGAGAGGCCATGATGTTGTGGAGGAGAGGGGTTTTAGGGAAAGGTTGGTATTTTGAGTGAGAGAGAAAGAAAGAGGAGCTATATATGCATGGTATTAGACTTTGTGATATTTGTGGATTGATTTTCTTGGAGAAGTTATTTGATGTGCCCGTGATATAATTAGATAGTATTTTATAATTTTTGTGGTTGGTGAAAAAAATAAAATTTATAATTTTATGTTAAATTGTATAAAAATAATAAGAATATAATAGTTTGTAATTGGTGTGTCATATATGCCACATAATGTTCTATGGGCACGGGATAATTAAATATGTTTTTTTTTGGGTCAAAGACATGGAAGAGATGGGACACACCTTTGTTGTCGGCTGGCCAATCCATGGCAAATTTTTAGGAAGTTGGAAAAAAAAAAGAAAAGAAAATAGAAATAGAGAGATTGGGCCATAAATTTATGGATTAATTTTATTTTTATCTTCTAAACAGTCGTTACTATTATTGTTATTTTCTTTGTCTTTAAATTATTAATTGTATTTATTTAATTTCTAAAATTGTTAATTTAAACTAATATATGGCCTAATTGGAGGTAATTGTCCATATCAATTTGATGGAAAAAAAAATTATTTCAAAATTTCAACAATTTAAATTATACAATTAAACATTTATTTATTTATTTATGGATTGCCCTTTCTATGTTTGATCACCTTTTCATTTTGGCTTTTAATTTTTTTTTTCACTTTGGCCTTTTACGCTTTAAATTTTTTCCAGTTTACTCCTCAAATTAATTTTTGTTCAAAATTAGACAAAAAAATATTATAATAATTGTCATATAACATAAAAAAATATTATTATATTGAACTTTAAGCTCATATTAAAGATGTGAGTTATATATAATAAAATATTTGTATGTCCTATGATTGTTAATGTGTTATTTTTGGTCTAATTTTTAACAAAAAGTTAGTTTTAAGAGTAAACTGGAAAAAAAAATTGAAATATAAAGGGCCAAAATAGAAAAAAATAAACTTTAGGGACCAAAGTGGGAAAGTGATCAAACATAAAGATGGCAAAATATAATTTACCCCTTATTTATTTATTATTTGCAATGATGGGCGAATAAACGATAAGTGTTTGTATAAAAACCCTCATTTTGCCTAGTCATATTTATAAGAATTTACATAATTTTTGTCTTGTTAAGCTTGCATCTTATAGACCTTAATATTTTGTCTAAATATGATATCCTGTCTTGTTTTGTTGCTATTTTGTTTTGCCTATGTATAAGATCCCTATTTTGTTCCTTACCTTGTGTGCTAAAACTAGGCTATCTACCTTTGCTATCTCATAGCTAGGTCACATCTTTGAACCTCTTACATTTAAGTCATTGAGTGTCAACACCTATAGGACTATCTTGGAACTATCTTGGTTGATCTCTACCTCCACCTCGCACCTAGGCCAAGGTGTACACCACCTAGGCCGATGTGTTCATCGCCTAGGCATTTGAGATCTTGGATTATAAAACCTTGCAGTTGTGTTGGGCACATTCTTGCCGAGTTGTGCACCTTAGCCCACACCTAGCAGCCTTGTTTCGTGACTTGTACAACCTAGGCCGAGGTGCGTCATACCTAGGCCAAGTGTCACCCCTCCTTGCTGAGGTCAGGGAGACCTTACTTGTCTGAAGTCTATGTTTTGATTCAAGATCCTTCCCTTATTAGAAGTAACCATGCCACCTTACTTGTTGTATACACTTTGATATACTCTTGTTCTTTCATTTTGACACCTTTTTGAGAAGATTTGACAAGATGATTCCATGTGTCCCAGTAGTAGGTTTAAGTTAGTTAGCTGTTGGGAAACCTATATCTTTGCCATATTTTTGTCTTGACGAGAGAGAAGCTCTAGGAAGAGGAAGAGGAAGTTCTTGGAGGAAGCTAAATTTTACAAGCTTGATTATTAGACTTTGAATAATTTGATTTGTGTTTTGAGATTAGATTCTTAATCTACTTTTGTTGTTCTTTATGTTAATCTGATTACATTGCATGGACTAGCATGATTCATGAGCCATGTATTGATTAAAAATTTAGTTTTAAAGAGAAAAAGTAATATTCTTGTATTCTTGAAGAAAAATCATGTTTTGATCCAAAAGTTTGTAACAAGTTCTATGTTTCTTTGTGTTTGTTTTAATGAAATCTTCAAGTATGAATACCTAGGTCCATGTTTTCAAATTCATATTATGAAATCTCAAATTTTGAATAAGAAGTTATGATTTTGGCGTTCATATTCTTCATCTTCATGTTCATATTCTTTATGTTCTTCAAGAGAAAATCTAGATTTCTAAATTTCATTATTCCCTAAGTATGGTCATCGATACCTGCTCTTGTCCAGCTCTACACCTAGGCCAAGCATTATATTTCACCTTGGCCTACCTTGCATGATCAGTTACACCTTGGTCTACCTTGCATACATACCTAGGCCGACCACTATACATCTTTGTTGACACCTTGTAACATCCCAAGTAGGCAGCCCACATCTCGGCCAAGGAGAACCACACCTCGGCCATGACCTCCTGAGTTCACCCAACTAGGCCATTTTAGCCAAGCTCATCTCTGTGCATCCATTCCTCGACCTGGTTTATACCCATCATGCTTTTCCAAGAAGAAAAATATTGATTTAACTTCCAGAACATATTTTTCTTTGTTTCGACTTGGTTTTGGGAAAAAATGTGTCACGCCCCGGAATTTGGACAATTAAATATTAAATTAGGACTAAACCTCAATTAATATTCTATCATCCAAATCTTAGGGATGACACAAAAGCTAACAGTTCTCGTCCCATAAGGTTTACATAAATTTTAATGCTAAAAAAAAATACAAGGGATAAAAAAAAAGGGGTAAATTATGCAAATAGTCCCTGTAGTTTACACGATGTGTCAATTTGGTCCCTGTAGTTTTAATTTGCTCGATTTTGTCTTTTAATTTAATGGATTGTGTCATTTTAGTCCAATAAATAACGGTAGTTAAGTTAATTTACGGAAGGTCAAACAATGTGTCAATTTGGTTCCTATACTTTACATGATGTGTCAATTTAGTCCGTGTAGTTTCAGTTTTCTCGATTTTGACAGGGACTAAATTGACACATTATGGAGAATACAGGGACTGATTAAGGCTAAATTATACAATATTGAGGCCGTTAATTAGGATGTCTTAACTTTACTTGCTTGTCAAACTGCATATTTTATGTGTGTTTAATGTCAATCAGGTTGTACATAGTTGGAGCATAAAATGGGCAAAAATACAAAATTTGAAAAGAAAACAGTTTCTCGTATGTGCGTTGACTTTTTCCGCACGTGCGTTGACTTTTCTTGGAAAATGGGACTGATGTTTTAAACCTTTTTGAAAGGCAACAGAAGTATAAATAGACAAGAAGGAGGCTGGATTAGGGTTCTGAAATTAATTTGCAAGGAAAGAGAAGTTAAGGTTTTTCAAGAGGTGATACTTTCCAAAAGCTTCAAGGAGACTTCTATGGGGGCTTTTTCTTCATTCTCTTCTTCTTTCCACTCCTCCATGAGTGGCTAGGTTATTCTTTTCTAGGGTTTTGATGAAACCCTAGTTATGTAATTAGGTTTTCTTTTTGATTTTTAGTTATGTGAAGGTTTGAACAATTGTATGGAGTTTTAGAAGTTTCATATATTTATTTTCCATTATTTCTTCAAGTATTTGGCTTTCTGTGATTGTTGAATGTTTTCCATACAATAGTTTTTTATTCTTTCATATTTAAGGTATGAGACGAACCATACTATGAGGGACGAGTCGTGTCGCTACCCTAGTTTAAAGTGAATGATTTGTACTACTTAAGATGGTTCGTGCCTGTACATTGAACGTGATGATTTTCTTGTTAAATGTTTTGAACTTGTAGTTGCGAAGTATTATTCCGTTCGAACCGTAACATAATTGATTTCATGAAACCCTATTTGTGTAACTAGTGGTGAACTCATTGCCCTAGATTTTTCCCAAATCAGTAAATCAAATTTTATTTATAATTGCTAATTTAATCACTTCATTTATTTTATTTGTTATTAAATTAGGTTATGAACAATCAATATTTTTAATCAAAATTAATATAGGAATTTAGCAATTAAATAAGTTTAATTTGACAATTGTCCATGTGGTTCGATACCTGGACTTGCCATTATTCTAAAAGAATTTGGTATAGTTTAGTGTTCAATTTTGGTGTATGTAACGACCCATCAATTTTCATTAGGTAAAATTGATTAAAAAAATATTTTAATCATTAAATTCAATGAAAAAAATATATATTTTAGACATTTTATATATATCTACATTGAATTTAATGGGTAAAAAAAATTGAAAAAAATTAAAAATTCATGATTTATTTTATTATAAAACTCAAATTTTAGTTTAGTTTTTTTTTTTTGTTTTTTTTTTAACTAAACATAGTGATCTACTTTAATTTCATTTCCTTCTAATAAAAAAATAAAATAAAATGAAAAGTTTTCTTTGAAGATTTTTTTATTTTTATAATTTATCTTGGGGGACAAAAATGTTTTGCTCACAAAATTTTAAATTGAGAAAAAAAATTACTATTATCTCTTCAAACTATTATATGTGTGTTGTTTTATCTACAATTTAAATAATTATTCACACAGAACGCGATTAACTAACAGATTTTTTTGATTAAAAATCCATCAAATAACTTATTTTATGAGTGATAATATTAATGAAAATATTGATTTTACTTTCCACTATAATAAGTGATAATTTACTTACTTTCTCGTGAGGTGCCAAACTAATTTTTTAACAATATTATAAATTTATCATTATCAATTCAGAATTTATCTAGAGAAAAAAAAAATGACTCAGATTCATTTTATATGTGAACCCCTGTTAGCTTATTTTTCCTACGAAGGAAAATATTATAAATGCGAGCAAGCCAGCAAGGATTGAAA